CTGGCCGGTAATATGAGGGGGCTCACACTGATGGCAAGTCTGTTGGGATTTCGCGGTCACATGACTTTCGCGTTCACCCCTAGTTTACACAATTTATATTTATTTTTCAAGAATTTGTCATCGAAATCGCAACAGACTGCAAGCAAGTCTACAATGAATATAAAATACATTGTTTATTTAACTGCAACCATTGCTCTTTAATACCAGTAATATATTGATTAATCAGAGTAGGAAATATACAACAACCTTGAACCCATTTTCATCATAGACGTTTTGAAACTGAAATCGTCAGTATGTGTGCGGATATGCTAAACGGTGATGAGAAAGTTGTGGGATCATTGACTTCTGGCGGGACTGAAAGTATTCTGATGGCAGTGAAAACTTACAGAGACAGAGCGAGAAAGTTGTATCCTGATATAGTACATCCTGAAATGGTTAGTATCATTTGCATATTGGTGAATTAGCCAATCAAGTAGGTGTTAATGCAGCATTTAAATATTATTAGCCAGTCTGAATTGTCTGATGAGGTCGTCTGGCGAATCAGAATATCTGTCATTGGCTCATTTGCATATTATTATATGAGGTCATCTGTCCAATAAAGAATAACTGTCATTGTCTCATTTGCATATTATTATATTATCATCTGCCCAAAAAGTATTGTTGGGGCAATCAGACTCATTATCAATTACCACACATGATAATTTGACACATTTTAATACACTCATGAAATTCACAAACATGTTTAAAATTAAACTTCTTTACAGAAACAGTAACAGTATTACAAATGTTACTCAGTACAAAAGGTTTATTATATTTCAAGTACATAATGTAGTCTGTATAATCTGAACTACTAGTTGTTAATAAAAGGTAATTTTATATAAAAAAACTGAATAATCCAAAAGAAGTAGACAGATAAATACAAAATAAATAATAAATGGAAATGGTACCTATACCTACACAATCTAATTGTTCTTAGTGACCTCATTGTATATTTCCAGGTTGCACCAATCACTATTCACCCAGCGTTTGAAAAAGCAGCGCATTACTTTAACTTGACGATTGTTCATGTACCAATTGATGACGATTTTAGAGTCAATGTAGATAAGTATAAGCAGGTAAGTTTATTTATGATGGATATAGGCCTTTGCACTTCTTAACGTTTTGTGTGCTTACATGTGCACAGTGACAGGTTGAGGATAATTGTCCTTTGCACTTGAAGATGAAATATCGATGTTGTTTGCTGCTGTTGTTATTACATATTACATATTACATGTAATGCTACGTTTACACGACAGCATTTTATCGGAGCCCTATGGCTTGAGCTGGCTCAAGCTAAGTTTGGCTATAATAAGAGTAGGGTTGAGCCCCAACATGGCCCGGACCGTGTATATGTATCAGAGCTAAACTATCGAGCCGAAATCACACCCTCAATCGTCTTCTTCAGGTAACCTCTCATTTCAATTATGGCGGAAACATCGTTTGTAATTTTGTGCAATTTCTGGCTTGACAAAGAGTTACAAGCCCTAATATCTATCTAAGAATAAAGAAATACTGCGATAGATTGATAGCTCAACAGCAAACAAAAAAAAACTTGAAAGGACAACTCAACAGATCCAATGAAAATTGAAGAAATTTTTTAAAGACACCAAATAAAAATCGTAGAAGCAGTCACGGTACGGCGACGTGTTCCTACTAGGTTTAGGTTGACAATTGTTCATAATTACAAGATGGTAATTTTGCATGACAATTTAATAGCTTAAGCATATAGGCTGTAAAACATGTAGCGTATTTTAGCTGCAGTGTATTCTATTCATATCTAAAATATAACACTAATGCATTGTCTCAGACTCATGACTGTTTTTTCTCCCAGCTTAACAACATCGTGCCATGTGAAGAAACAACAACATAAGCATGACATGAAAATCGTTTTCATACTAAGTATTTGAGGGTGCTCTGATCGGCTGAATTGAACTCGGACAGATCTTGGCTTTGTTCACTCCCCAACCATGTAAATGCATTGGAGATAATTTCCTGTTAAGCGATGAGAGGAACAGTAGTTCGGCTCCGACAGTATACTGCCGTGTAAACGTAGCAAATGTTACTAAAACATTTTTATTAGCAATGTTGTCACAGCAGATCCTCTGTTAACTTGAGTGACATTCGCATGCTGATTGCCAACAACTGAATTCTGATATAATGATATGCTTTAATTGTTTTGCTGTAATGAAATAACAAATAAGCATACTAACATGATGCAAATAAATAAAATGAAGTGGTATAGGATTATTATTGCTTACTGAATGGGAGTCTACAAGGGTCACAAGTCCCTTGTTTATTTCATGCCATTTATACCTCCCATATTTTATTTTTAATTGAAAAAAACAACAACAAAATAAAAAAAGAGACTGCATGCAAGACTAGTACTGATTGTGAATGATGTTTATTTCTCACAGGCTGTTACAAAGAACACTGTAGCATTATTAGCCTCTGCAACCCAGTACTGTCATGGTGTTGTGGATCCTATAGAAGAAATTGCTGCCATAGCAACTGAAACGGGAATTCCCTTCCATGTGGATGCATGCTTTGGAGGATTCATGTTGCCATGGTAATGAGATTATATTAACTATTTTTTTTTAATTTTTGAGTGACATATAGTTTAAGTTAGTGAGATTAGATATTTTTATTTAATTCTTTTATTTACATTTGTATTTAATTTTTAATATTTTTATTCTAGAACTGTTTTATAGAAGTACAAGCTAGAATTTATGGTTGGCAAAACGGGAATGATAAACTCAGATCAAACTGCATACAGTGTCTGAGTTACCATAGCAATTGGAAACTATCAGGGATTGTATAAAATAATTTATTTGATTTTCAACAGGGTAGAGAAACTTGGATATCCGGTTCCTAAGTTTGATTTCAGACTTGATGGGGTCACGTCTATGTCAGCTGATTTACATAAATATGGGTATACTTCTAAAGTAAGTTTAAACCGTCACAATCGGCATGAAGCACGTATCCAAATATTTTGTAAACAAACAATGTATTTTGGACATGTTTTATACAGTACAGTCTTATACTCCCATGCTGGTTATGCCTTTTCATAGAAACCTTCAGTTTGTAGTCCCCGTTCAGGCGAAGCCTGAAAGGGGAGTACTAGTTTTACTTTCTTTCTCATTTTCAAGTTGCTGCAAGTTATCTCTCACATTTTCTCAGGGACTCTGCAGCAGATGTCAATGAAACTTGGCAGGTTGATGAACAAGTCTGTGTTACATATGCACGTAATTTTTTTTTCCAGATCTGAAAATCCTAAGTGGGTCTTTTTCAAGATTTTCATCCAAAATTACCTCTCTCTACTACACTGACAGAGCAACTGAGCATGCTCAGAACAATTGATTCTGTTAAATTCAGATTCAGATTCATAAATTCCTGATTTCTGATTCACAAGATTTACCAAATGTATTCAATCGGTAGTGTATACTTTTCAGAACTCAGAACCAACTTTGCAGAACCTCAGAACCCAATTTCTAAATAGCTTCCTTATCATCGGAAGTCATCTTTTAGGTTATTATTAATATGACCACACCCTACCAAAAAAATATGCAAATTAGCTAAATCCAGTTATTTCCTTTGATCTCAGCAACCATTGAGCCGATTTTGTTCATATTTGGTAGGATTGACAAGAGTAGATGTGCTTCTGACCGTAATGGCCACCCCCTCACAAAAATATGCAAATTAGATCAATGCAGTTATTTGCTGCTACAAATGTATCTCTGCCAGAACCATGTTGATTTTATTTATATTTGGTATGATTACACCTTGGCACAAGTAGATGTGCTTCTGACAGTAATGACCACATCCTCCCAAAATTATGCAAATTAGATCAATGCAGTTATTTGCTCTTATCCCAGCAACCATTGGGCCAATTTATTTCATATGTTGTAGGATCTCACCTTGAAATGAGTAGATGTGTTTTTGGCAGTAATGACCACGGCCTCCCAAAAATATGCAAATAAGATCAATGCAGTTATTTGCTGCTATCAATTTTATTCA